TTGCAATTTAACAAAGGAGAAAGAAAACAAGTGTTACTGGAATTGCCAGCAACTGGACTGTGACACATGATTTGGCCTTAGAAAAAAGGTAACTGCTTTTCATCTCTTAATTATCACTCCTTTCACTCTCTCTCTTCCATGGTGGTGGGTTCTTCTTTAGTAGATCTCTGCACCAAAGCTCAAAGCTTTGCACTGAAGGTACACAGAGAGAAAATCAGAGAAACCACAGATAAAGTCTCTATTTTTTTCTTCTTTTTGTTTCTATATGATAAATTTGGTTTATTTTACCTTTTACCCAGTGGTCAAACGTCTTCCTCTCTACTCTTCCCTTTGCTCTGATGAGACTTTTGTTACTTTAGAGTTTTAGAGTCCGTGAAGGAGGAGAAAAAACAAAATGTTGGATTTTTGGAGAAGATGAGTGAAAAAGGCAAAGTTTTTCTGTTTATCTGACTTGAGTCCCTTCGATCTACATCTGGGTTTTGCAGCATTCTAGAGTAAAATGAGGAAACATGGATGGCAGCTTCCTTATCACCCTCTTCAGGTACTCAAAATCTTCCGATTCTTGTGTGTTCTTACTGAAATTTCCTAAAAGGGTTTTGATTTTGAGGTGAAATTTTGGATTTTTTGTCTTACTTTCTGGGTAGGTGGTGGCTGTTGCTGTGTTCTTGGCTTTAGGGTTTGCTTTCTATGTCTTCTTTGCTCCATTTGTTGGGAAGAAGATGCATCAGTACATTGCGATCGGCATTTACACTCCCTTGGTAAGCTATATTTGTTTGCTTTTACTTTCTGAAATCAAATCTGCTTCCTTTTTTGTTGCTTAATGGATCAATAAGCCTTGAAGTCTTTAGAAAATCAAAATTATGTACTTGTTGGCTGTTTATGTGTTGTCTTTCTACTTTCGGGAAATGCTTATCTTTTTCTGTAGTATTGGTTCCAGAATCTAGCTCGTTCTTGTGAAATTTGTTACTTATAGCCCTATTAGGGAAATTAGATTTTACCTTCCTTCTCGTTGGATCCTGATCTGGTCCCATCAAAAAATTATGAGTCTTACTGATTCCTGAAAATGGACAAGTTAGCTCTAGATACTTCTTGAATGAGAGCCAATTTAAGGGTAATGGTTGATCCATCATTTGTGATAACAGTTGTAGAAACTGGCTCAAGTATTTTCCCTTCTTGAGTCTGGCATTAAAGCTTAAAACCTTCTACTTTGGGGGTCGAATTTTTTTTTGCAGACAATGTGGTATAGTTACCTCATTGTGTCAACATTGAGTCTTTGAAAATTGTGTTTTACAATTTTTTCTTGTTTGGATGGGTTGGTATCCTCCTAGAGACTACTTGAGTGATTGACTTCTTCTTGCCAGATTACATGTGTGGTTGGACTGTATATATGGTGTGCGGCTTCAGATCCTGCAGACCGAGGAGTTTTCAGGTCAAAGAAGTACCTTAACATTCCTGAAAATGGGAAATTCCCTCAATCAAAGGATACGAAAGACGGCTGCGGATCAACTACAGGTGGTGCTAAGTCTCATGACAGCACATGTGTACCGGATCCGGAAAATAAGTCTAAGAAGAAACTGGAATTGTCAGAGAAATCGTCTCTCCTGCGGTTGCTTTGCTCTCCTTGTGCATTGCTTAGTAGTTGTTGCGGTGGAAGCGATGATTCTTCCGAGCAGCAGATGAGCGAGGATGGGATGTTTTATTGCAGTCTGTGTGAAGTTGAGGTGCGGGAAACATTTAAAATCACAAAATTGTTTTATTTTGTCTTCTCATTGGCAATATCAAGAAAGCTCTACAGATGCCAGAATTGATAGATGTTTTATTTCATTTTGCAGGTCTTCAAATACAGCAAGCATTGCAGAGTTTGTGACAAATGTGTGGACCGTTTTGATCATCACTGCAGGGTATTAAAAGGATTTGCCTGAAAATTTCCTGAATTTTCTTAATCCCTTCATTCTGTTTTAAATTTCACATCTTCTTTTGCTTATAAACTTGTGTAGTGGCTAAACAACTGCATTGGCAAGCAGAATTACCGAAAATTCTTTAGCCTTATGGTATCAGCCATTTTTTTGGTAAGGTTGCATTGATCTTTCATGACTTCCTGGATAATTCCTCCTTTGATTGATGGAACAAAGAGTTAGTTACATTCGTCAACTTCAAGTTAAATGTATTATTAACCGGCAGAAACTTTGTTTCCTCCTCTTGGCGCTTGAGCTTGCAGCTCATTGTGCAATGGTCAACTGGGATTTTTGTGCTGGTATTATGTTTACTTCGAAGGAACCAGTTTAATGCAGACATTGCCTTAAAGTTGGGAAGCAGCTTCTCGCTAATTCCGTTTGTTATAGTCGTTGTAAGTTGTCTTCTCATTACAATTGATCTTCCCTTACTGTCTCCTGAATGCAAGATATGACGGTTTTCTTTCTCTTGCAGGCAGTTTGCACTCTATTGGCAATGCTGGCAACGCTACCACTTGCTCAGCTTTTCTTCTTCCACATTCTTCTCATTAAGAAGGTTGTTTCCAATGCTCAAGGACATGCAAAGACTTGCTCTTTAACTATGCGATTGACCTAACTGAATTTTCCCCTAACAGGGAATCAGTACATACGACTACATAGTTGCGCTTCGGGAACAAGAGCAAGAGCAAGAAGCTGGTGGAGGTCAACAAAGCCCTCAAATGTCGATGATCAGCTCATTCACTGGACTAAGCAGTGCAAGCTCCTTCAATACGTTTCATCGCGGAGCATGGTGTACACCACCACGTTTGTTTCTTGAGGACCAGGTACCATTCATTGTTCATCAGTTTTTTTAACCTTATATACTATAACTTGCTCTAATGTGTGTGTGTTTCTCTGTGTAGTTTGATGTAGTTCCTCCAGAGAATGCGTCTGTAAGTTCATATGGGAAGAAGTCAGTGGTTGAGGAACGTGTCAAGAAGAAGACCCAACCTGTGAAGATCAGTCCGTGGACTCTAGCTCGACTCAATGCAGAAGAAGTTTCAAAAGCAGCAGCAGAAGCAAGAAAGAAGTCCAAAATAATCCAGCCAGTGGCGAGAAGGGAAAATCCGTTTGTTGGGATGGAAGCAAGCAGCAGCTTTGGAAGCAGTGGCCGTAGAATGTTCCCATCAAAGTTTGATGCCGTGAATAATAACGGGAAACAGAGAAGGCAATCTAAGCGTATACGGTTACCAGCAGAGTTGCCTCTAGAACCGCTGATGAATGGTCAGACAAAAGCAGCTATGGAGACATCAACTAGTTCAGGTTTAGCTCCTCTTCAGCTAGAAGCAAGAAGCGCGTTTCAGACAAGCCGAGCAATGTCAGGGTCAGGTGGTGTAATGGTTACATCATCACCTGAGAGCAGCTTAGACTCGCACGACATACACCCTTTTAGAGTTTCGTCTGAAGCAGAAGATGCAGCTCAGCTCAATGGGTTTTCCTCAGCTATTGGTCTGATGGGTCAACAGAGAGGACAGCAGCAACAACAACAATCCATGATGATGCTTCCATTGTCAAGATCTACAAGTGATGGCTACGATGCATCTGGCGGAGAAGACAGTGATCAGGTTCCTTCTAGAAACATCCACAAATCAAGATGAGAAGCATAATAATCACTATGGTTTAGGCTTTAATGGTTGAGAGATCCTTGAAGCATTCTTTTGAATTATGGCTGGTCTACATTCAAATGGGATCTATCAAGAAAAGTCTACATTCTCAGACAAAAATGTTTTGTGGGGTTGTTGTTACAGTGCCTGCCAGGAGAAGAAGCATCAGTGAAGGAAAAAAGGAAGACTTTTGTGGAATTCGTAAGATTTTATTTTGAAGGTACTAAGCAAATTTGAACATGAACTTTTTAGGGATTGACCAGAACTATGTTTGCTTGTTTATTACTAGGAAAATGCTTTTGTTTCTTAAACATGTCATAATTGTGATTCAAAGAAAAGTGTGACATATGGCAAATCATGATCGAGATTGAGCTTCATTTTTTTTATTTTATTTTTGCCTATTGCAATAGCGAAAGGAGAGAGAATGAGGTTTAATTAGGGGATTGGGATTGTTTATTCTTCAGTCAAAAAAAATATATATATATATATTTGGGATTGCGTCACTTAAAAGACTTCACTTGAGAACATGTGTGGTGCAGTGGTAGTTC